ATGGCTATTACAAATAATCTGTTTCGGCAACTGGAAAGGCGTATTTGAGAATTCAAACCTAAGAACAAGGAAGGGAATGTAAGAACTAGATGCTGACAGCTATAACACTGTCCTTTTAATGCTGGGATGCTTTAAGGGCCATAGCTCAAGGGGTTGAGCACATGCTTTGCATTCATAAGGTGGCATCTCCAGCTAGGTCTGGGAGCGGTTCCTGCTTGAAATCCCGAAGAGCTGCTGACGACCAGTGTAGACAATACTGAGCTAGATGGCATTAGTAAAAGGTTGCTTCTTAAGTTTCAATGTCAGGTTCAGCAACACTAACTCTGGAATAGGCTGAATTCCTTTCATCACATGAATATGGTATGGGAGGGACATCAAACTTGTCTTGTCCTTTCCTTCTTATGGAATCCTTGACATCTGTCTATGTCACAAAATTAGCCCTGGGTTTTGTCCACTGGGCTGCAGTGTTCTTACCTGACAGAGAATAATAGACCAATCACTGTCCTAGCACCAAAGAGATAATAGTATTAAATCAAGAACGAATGAAGGATCTCTTGAGGAACAATACGTTTCTGCCATTTGAAGGATTAATGTTTGCCACTGTTCTGTGCCATCCAAGGAATGAAAACTGAGAAATGAAATCAGAAAGATTAATTAAGCGCCACACCAAATGTGTGTCTTGGTCCAGAAGAAAAGGAAAGAAGTAGCACAGCTATATTCCTTTCGTTCGTAAGTGTGAGATGCACTACACCTTGGGAGAATATTCATTTATCATTGCAAACCTAATTCATTGTTTCGGACTCCCCAACCCAAAATATATAAGTTGTAAAATGCACCATTATCAATATTTAGACATGGATTAGCCTTTAATGATATTAGGGATGCCCAACTACAAAATGAAGGCTTCTAGAAAAAGAATATCCTTCTCTAAAAATGGAATGTGAGGCTCCTCAGATGAGTTGCGAACTCTTCAATGGGATATGGATTGAATGGGTGAATTGTTATCCAAATCCAACTTGCAACCTCCATGTACACAGCTCCCAGTGCCTAAGGGGGTGTGTGTCAGGGAGATGAGGGAACACATCACATTCACCAGGAGTCAATGGTCCCTTCCCTAATGAAGTCATTTGCAACTGAATGGTTGTGGCAGAAAGTGGATGTGGATGTCATCTAAATGCCCTACGTCTGAATGCAGATGATAGACATTTTCACTGCATCACCCATCAACATTCATAATCATGTACATCTACAGTTCGATCAGGGTAAAAGTCTTATCAGTATTGAAACTGTCGACACAACATGGAAAAATAGAGAATGCCACCTGGTTGCCAAGCAGTTGAACACACCCATTCCCTTCCTCCCACCATGTAGGGAAGGGGTGGCTATCTTGGTGCCCTACAGGTCTTCAACTCCTATTCCCATCAGTCTGCAGACAGCAGAGCTAGTGGTCATGGATTATGGGAGTCCAGCAATGTCTGAAGAGCACTTTCATTGGTTATCCTTGAATGGTAGAGGGAGAGCTTTGTTGGGCTTCTATGATTTGTTCCATTACAAGATCTCATATAATAAGAATTTTATATCATATAAAATATAAAAAACATTATCAGAACGAAAACAGTAAAGCGCTTTAAGTCAATACGTTGTTATTATTTTGTTGTATTTATTGCTTACTCACCCAATGCAGGAAAAATTCCAGATGGCATTCAATCAAAATAAAATTATGTGAAAATTTAAAATATAATAAGTATTAAAAATTAACAATAAAATAACAACCACCTCAAAAATACCAAACGGCACCAAAACCTGTAAAATATTACCACTATATCCTGAGATAATTCATCACATTGCATCAGGTGCCTGTGGAAAGAGGAAGATCTTACTCTGGTGCTGGAAAGGTATAGGTAAAGGTAAAGGTACCCCTGCCCGAAGGCCAGTCGTGTTCGACTCTAGGGTTGTGCGCCCATCTCACTTAAGAGGCCGGGGGCCAGCGCTGTCCGGAGACACTTCCGGGTCACGTGGCCAGCGTGACAAAGCTGCTCTGGCGAGCCAGCACCAGCACAGCACACGGAACGCCATTAACCTTCCCGCTATAAAGCGGTACCTATTTATCTACTTGCACTTAGGGGTGCTTTTGAACTGCTAGGTGGGCAGGAGCTGGGACCGAACGACGGGAGCTCACCCCACCGCGGGGATTCGAACCGCCGACCATACGATCGGCAAGCCCTAGGCACTGTGGTTTTACCCACAGAGCCATCCGCGTCCTGGAAAGGTATAAATGATATTATTTTTGGCAGATTTCACTGGGAGAGCATTCCACAGACAAGGAACAACCAAAATACAGTGGTGCCCCGCAAGACGAATGCCTCGCAAGACGGAAAACCTGCTAGAGGAAAGGGTTTTCCATTTTCAATGCGCTTCGCAGGACGAATTTCCCTATGGGCTTGCTTCGCAAGACGAAAATGTCTTGCGAGTCTTGAGATTTTTTTTTCGCTCCCCCCCTTTTTTCTAAGCCGCTAAGCCTTTAATAGCCTTTTAGCAGCTAATCCGCTAAGCCGCTAAGCCTTTAATAGCCGCTAAACCGCTAATAGCGCTAATCCGCTAAGCCGCTAATAGGGTTGCTTCGCAAGACGAAAAAACCGCTAGACAAAGATACTCGCGGAACGGATTAATTTCGTCTTGCGAGGCACCACTGTAGCCCTCTCTTGTGTCACTCCACTTCAAAATTCTCAAGGAGGGGATACCAAGTGAAGGCCTTAGCTGATGAACAAAAGGTTCATGTTGGGGGAGATGTACCATTAGGTCCTGAGTCATATAAGATCGTATAGGTCAAAAACTACACTTTGAATTGGACTTGGACATTTATAGGTGGCCAGTGCAGTTGTGCTACAGCTAGTGCTCTATGATCAAACTGCTCAGTTGCCACCTGCAGTTTAGCACCACATTCTGTACCTGCTGCAGTTTCTAAATCATATTCAAACCTTACATATAACACATTGTGGTGATATGGCCTAAAGTTTACCAGAGCCTAGAACTACTGAAGCCAGGTTAACCCTGCCTAAGTCACCAGGCTAACTAGTAGAATTGATCCAATTCAATAAGAACAGTTAAATAGTTACAACACGCAGTGCTTTTTTTCCTGGGGGTCCTCAATGGTACACAGTACCAGCACCATTTTTTCCTAAAAGAAAAGCACTGGCAACATGCAATTAAGTAATGGTTCTTAAACCTTTGATAATGACCTTGTTGACGTAACTCTTTATATGATCAAATCTCCATAACTCCAGGTACTATATACTATCTGTACAGTTGATTCCCCTCCCCCACCATCCTACTAAAGTTATTTGACATATTTCCTCACGCAGCATGCCCTAAAACTGTCTTCCTAAATTTAGCTGCAGCAACAACTGTAAAAGTAAATGATAATTTTTATGTCACAACAGCAGACACATCAGCTTTCAAGTGCAAATTTTAGATGGGGCGTGTGATCAAAACATTAAACAAAATATGAAAATAAAGACTCATACAATGACAGAGTAGCTTTCTGTCAGTCACATCCCAAGCATGACCAAAAGATTGAAAAACTGGTGGTAGATGGAAGATAGATATCAAAATTACACCTTATATTAATGTGAACTCACACAGAGTATCAACCCTATGAATACAAAACAAAGCAAAAACAAAAAAAAATGTGCTTTTATTTTAGAATATCTAGATCATCGTCCTATGTTTTATTAATGGGGAAATGTTCCCAGATTAGAAAAAGGACACTTCCGTAATGGGCATCATTATTTAGCAATCACTATATGTTTAGCAATCATTATTTAGCAAAAGTAATTCATCGATCCAGTGGCGTAGCGTGGAGGGTGCGGGGGGGTCGGCCGCACTGGGCGCAACATCTGGGGGTTAGGGGGCGCAAATCCACGGGTTAGGGGGCGCAAATTACTTGCCTTGCCCCGGGTGCTGACAACCCACGCTACGCCACTGCATCAATCAGTTGCTGGGTGTGTAAAAAGGCAGAGTGCCCAGAGGCACACTTGTAGAAGGCCCTCAACGATGAGATCACTGGGGACTAAATTAATAGGTGACGAAGTAGGTATGGGACCAGCTACACCTTAGGGACAGCCCCATCCTCCTTCCATGGTGTTCTGGGATAAATGACATGACCACAGCTGAGGACAACGTTTTAAATATACTTGTGAATAAATTATGAGAAGCAATTATGTTTTGTCAAACATCGCCTTTGTACAAAATGTCCACATCATCACAAATTATAATTCAGTATTCAGAACTCTGTGATTTGTAGTGTTTACACATAAGATAAACACTTAGCCATGCAGTTCTCTGCTGAGTACTTATTTAGTGTGCTTATGCGTGTTGACTTGCACAACAGTGCAGGGAAAACTATTCGTGTCAGGCAGTGTAATACTACACTGGCAACCCCATTAAATAATGAAATATTTTAGTCCAACTTTTCCTCAAAGGCATCTGAAGGCAGCCCTGTTTAGGGAAGTTTTTAATGTCTGAAGTTTTCTTCTATTTCTAGTGTTCTGCTGGGAGCTGCCCAGAATGGCTGGTGAAACCCAGCCAGATGGGCGGGTTATAAATAATAAAATTGTTGTTGTTTGTTATCAAAGATCAATAACAAAGGATGGATTAAGATAAAACAACATAAAAATGACAAAGCAAAAATTAAAATCTGAAGTGTACAAAGGGCAGTTCAAAGCACACTATTAAAACAAAATGTTTCAAGTGGAGTTAAAATGCTAAAATTAAAAAAAAAATCCCTAAAAAGAAAGGTCTCTACCATGCATGGAAAGTACCTAAACAATGGAGTAAGGTGAGTCAGCCCCCAATAAGTTCCAAAGTCTTGGTGCTGCTCCTGAAAAGACACTTTCCTTGGTCCCAACCAGATGTACTTCAGGAGTTACTGTGACATGCAGCAGGATCTCTCGTGATGATCTTAATAAGCAGGCAAGTTTGCATAGGAGAAGGCAAGTCCTTCAGATAGCTCAGTTGGTTAGGGCATGGCGCTCATAATGCCAAGGTTGCAGGTTGGACTAGGTGACCCAACTCTATGATTCTATGACTATGATATCCTGACAATGATATCCTGGTTTCAAAATCCTTGGATATATTTCCTTCAGCTTTCCACATGTCTCACAGGCCAACGAATTTCTAAACCATCCACCAGTGATCAAAACATTTACCCAGAATGCCTCTCTATTTAGTAATTAGCAGACAGCATACTTCTGCACTATTATTATTATTATTTTTTTACTACAGAAAACGATGCTAGAATTCCTGCTCCATGATTGCAGGCATGGGATGTTTATGTTACTGTGTTCCGTGAAGTGGGTCTTTTGTCCTTTGTTTTTTCTCTTTGCTGTCTGATGCTAGAGAGAGAGGGAGCCATGTTGCAGTGCTCCATGTGTGTTTATATGTAAATAAAGTAGATTAGCCAAAATGCTGAGTTGCTGAGGTCTGTCACGCAAACTGCAAACACTCTGTGGATCCCTAAGTGTGCTGATGTCTGTTGGCATCAGTAGCTGTGATGTTCGGGCTGAAGACAGCTTTTGAAGCTCCCGAACGATCGACCAGGAGGGAGGGAACATGCCAGTCGGGCATATGTCTCTACCAGGGTCCTACTCAAGTGCAGGAAGAGCTCCTGACAAACACTCCCATTTCCACCTCAAGTTGGCCTGTTTCAGAGATAGTCAGACCTGAAGAGCCTATCATTTCCTCTCATACACACAGAGATGGCAAATACTGTATATAAATATATATTTATGATCATAATTTCTACAATTTCTTCAAATTGTCATAAGACACTCTGCACATCTACAGAGTTGACATATTTAAAGGAAAGCAGGGAGATATGTCATTCATACCATTTATATTGTTTTCTTCAGACTGTGATAAAAGACTTTCTTCACAGCTGTAGAGCTAGATGTGGCGAAACGTAGGGAGATTTTTCAATCAGGCATATGGAATTTTTCTCCCATGTTTACTGAGAATTGCTGTGAGACTATTTCATAGATCACCAGAGTAAAATGATTTTAGTCTGGCCAAAATATTAACTAAATGTCACATTGGACAAGGAGAGGCTCCAATTTAATTTCAGGTTTAATAAATTAGGTTTCATACTGCAGCTGCATCACGGGGGGGGGGGGGGAATCATATTTTTGAAATAAATTTTCCAGGAATGGAAAACAGAAGCAAAGAAAGTTAGCAGGTGTTTATCTGGATTTTAAATTGCCACAAATAAGATAGACAGGGAATGATTCACTTAAACTTTGCCTCGTGTTTATCCTTAAATGATTAATTAATTGCAAATGATAATTGTGGGCCTGATTCATAGCACCCTGTATTCAATTGCAGTTCCACCTGTTTTAACACTTTGCCCATCCCTAGATATACCTGAGCTCTTCCCAGTGCTATGCAGAGGGGAAAGCTCTTTCTGACTCCTTTTCATCACAGCTCATACTGAGATGTGAGGGCAGTGAGGATGCATCCTTGCCATAGATCCAGTAAGAAGAATCAGTCAAGGTTTCTTGACAAGAGGTATTCAATCTTCCTACGCCTTGGGTAGGAAAGCATCATCATCAAACTCACCCACTGAGGTCAGGGCCATCTTTAGCATACGCGTAGCTGGGGTGCAAAGATCTTCCCAGCGCCCCTCAAATTTAGTTAATTTGAGAATGACAAGCACCGTCGTTGAGTCTGACAAGCGCCGCCTTTGAGAATGACAAGTGCTGGCGAGGCGTGTCTTAAGTAAGTGAGTGCACAATGAGCGCACAAAGTCGAAAGTCCTTTAGTGATACAGTAGGTATACATTTCAGTAATACCTAGGTATATATGTATTTTGTTTTTCTAGCATGATCAAAATTAATTATTTAAATTAATTATTTCAAAACAGGTAGATAAGAGCTTAGGCGACTTCAGCGGCGGGCGCCCCCCAGAATTCAGCACCCGGGTGCCCCACACCCCTTGCACCTCCGGGTAAAGACGGCCCTGATTGAGGTGCCTCATAACTTCCTGTGGGGCACCCCACAGATTGAGGACAACTGTAATATAGTATATATGCTGCTTTGCTTCCACCATGACATGTCTCCTTTTAGTTACTGCATTTGAATTACAGTGTTACCTTGGTTGACAACCATAATCCGTTCCGGAGGTCCGTTTGTAAACCAAAACAGGTTGTAATCCAAGGCGCAATTCGCCAATGGGGCCTCCAAAAAAATAATTGTTTGTAATCCCCCCAAAATGGGTTGTAATCCAAAAAAATGTTGCAAACTGGGACACGCACTTCCAGGTTTGACGTGTTTGTAATCCAAAATGTATGCAAACCAAGACGTATGCAAACCAATGTACCACTGTACTGAAGGATACATTTCCCCCCCAGATATCTGTGCAAGTACATAAAGCCCACGAAGAAAGCCTTTTGGCTGAAACACACTGTGCTACTAATACATATTTAGAAGCATCCTGAAATTAGGTCTCTCTTTCAGGGATACCACATATGTTTGAAGTTGCATTATCTGTTTCATTAACATCATCTGCCAAAGCTTCCTTGTTTACTCCTGTACAAGCAGACCTAGCCTTGCTTTTCCCAGGATTTTGCCAGTAATGCTCTGGCAGCAGAGCAAGCAGTAAGCTTTCAGCCAGTTCCCCATGTTGCCACATTCAGTTTCTGACAATCCATCATGTTTTGAAATGCCACTGGGTTGCAGCAGCCAATGTATGGTACCCTACTGTTCTGATGACAACCCAGAGGGCCCTCCATCGAGGCAGTCGCACGGATCATTTTGGAAAAACCTCAAAATTCAGGTAAGATTAAATTTATGTTTCTCCCAGTGCTCCACTCCGTATCTTCAGCAGCTGTTGCTTTAATGTAACTGATCCTTCCTGATGAAAGATGTGCACAGGAGCAGCTGCTTAGCCATGGAGGAAATTAAAGCATCAACATTAATGCCAGGTGATTTGTTGTAGTAATAGGAATAAATTATGCAGTCCAGTTCTCTATTGCTAGACACGATGATCACATGTAGTCTTATGCACAAAGTTTACAGCATGTTTGAAGACTGCTGGCTATTTTGTTCCATTAAACATTTGAACGTATTGGGTGGTGGTGGGGTCACTTTCCCCACAAAGTTTCTGTGAAGTTTTAACTCCCCTTGGCTGCTGACAGTTACTATATATTTATAGTGCTGAATTTATCATCGAATTTTCTCTCTCAGTATTTTACATAGATCTGGAATAATGGTTGTATAAGAAATATAATACTAAATAAAGAAAAAACAACAACAAAAAGCAAAACAACATTTACTGTCATTACCTCACAAAATAATGCACATTCTCAAGAGACTACAGAATGAATTGTGTTTCTCACTTTAAAATTTTGACAGAGTTAATGTCAAACAGCATGTTCTGAAGGATAGCTGTATTGTACCCAATATTGTTATGTTAGTATCATTTAATTACATACTTGAATTTTTTTCTTTAACAGGGCTCATGAAGAAGACATCACTGTTTAATCAGAATAACACAATCCTGTGTGTGTGTGTGTGTGTGTGTGTGTGTATACACACATACAAGCTAATTCCAGTGTAGTAATAGGTGATCCTCCCCTGGACACCTCCTTCACCACCTCCAATCATCTTTTTCTTTTGTGACTGTGGAATTTGACCCCCTCCCCCATTTGTTTCTTTTCTGTACTGACTACAATGGAGAACCAATTTAATTTCTTTTTTAAATTCATACATAAAATATAAACACAAAAAACAAATGTAAACATAGAAAAATAACAGAAACGACAAACAGAGCTACACATCCATTGTCTTAATTTGTCAACAAAATCAGAAGACATCTGTCAGTAGAAACATTAAGAGGGTAGAAATAAATTATTATTATTATTATTATTATTATTATTATTATTATTATTAATTTATTATGGTATAAATGATAAAATCCCACCACACAGTATAAAAATCTTCTAAGCCTTTAGAAACCTTTATATTGTAGGTTATCTGTTTTATGATCATCATCATTTTTATAACAGAAGGTTATTGGCAGGCTTTGCAAAGTCTTGTATTTTTGTGTTACAGATAACCTAGCTGGTGATAGCAATCATGTTGCCAATTCTTTACGTTTTTTAAGTATGACAATCCCAAATATTTATAAAATCAAGATTAGATTAAAGATCAAGATTGAATTAAATAAGAAACCACTGTTTATTCAGAACAACTACTGGTGTAGCTATTTTTTTTTAAGTAACAAATCAACTCTAATGTGGTGATGAGAGACACCCCCCACCCACTGTGGCTCTTTATTCCCTGTCCCCCTTAAACAGTGTTTTCAGAATCTTCTGAAGTTTGGTTTTCTTCAGCTCCTGGTGTCATCTGGAGAGTGACATTGTCTGGAGGCCCACATTAGAGATGTGAACTGAATTATTTTTCATTTTATTTCTGGCAGCCCCATTTGTTTTGTTCCCCATTCATTATTAGCTCATTTTTCTTTTGTTGCTGTTGAGCTTGTTTTTCATTTCTACATTGACTACAATGGAGAACTAGCTTAATTTCTGATGCCATTAAGCTGAATGTTGTTTTCCAATCAAACTGCATGGGAGGCGCAAAGCATTCATTTCATTACACATGAAACATGCCCCTTATGAGACTCCTTGCCATCTGCAAGTCCACTACTAACCATTTCCCTTTCTTTCACATAGCATACATTATGGGTAGGCAAACTAAGGCGCGGGGGCCAGATCCGGCCCAATCGCCTTCTAAATTTGGCCCGTGGACGGTCCTGGGAATCAGCGTGTTTTTACATGAGTAGAATGTGTCCTTTTATTTAAAATGCATCTCGGGGTTATTTGTGGGGCCTGCCTGGTGTTTTTACATGAGTAGACTGTGTGCTTTTATTTAAAATGCATCTCTGGGTTATTTGTGGGGCATAGGATTTGTTCATTTCCCCCTCAAAATATAGTCCGGCCCCCCACAAGGTCTGAGGGACAGTGGACTGGCCCCCTGCTGAAAAGGTATGCTGACCCCTGGCATACATGTTAGTAGCCAGAAAGCATC